TTGGGCGACGGTTGGGGCGGTGGTGGGGGTTGGGCGACTGTTGGGCAGTGGTGGAGATAGGGATTGGGTGGTTGTGGTGTTGAGGGTTGCAAAGATATTTTGGTGTGGGGGAAGGGGTATTTTGGGCAATCTAATCCATTAGTCAACTTCCACTAAAAATGAGCAAAAGTCAAACCGGGAACTTAAAATCCGGACGAAGGGAGTATAATTTAACACTTTTTTATCTTTGCTCTAAATCAAAATGAGAAGTCTTTTTTCAAACAGATGAAGTAATAATAACGGGTTTTCTCCATTACCCTTGAAAATCAGTGGGCATGCATGCCCCTCCACTCAAGATTTGACATGTGGACTAATATCAATTTTGCTTTTTGTAGTTCAACACTTCAATAATACAATAATTTAGTGAAAGGCTGTTACACGAACGTGGGTCTCGCAGATGTAGGAGAAATTACTCCGAACTACACAAACATTTTATGTGTTATTTATTGTTTTTCCAGTTATAATTCTTACTCGTGACACATAAGATGTTAAAGCACACTCTAAGTCACTTTTCACAATAATCTGTGCTAAAACTAGCTATGTATTGCATCTTACATTTTTTGGGTGTTTGCTGTGTGTGCGGTATACATATCTGGTTGGATGATGAATAACCCCTCCTAGATTTCACTTATGAGCAAAATCTGCAACAATCATTAAGACCATGTGTAATGTGTAATGGTTGATGCCCCCCTTTATGAGTGTTTTTTGCCACATGTTTTTAAATAAAAAAACTAAAATCATTTTACTTACGCACCACCTTACTTATTTCATTGTATTATTTTGACCTTTTTGCATTCAAAAATTTTTTTTAAAAAAATAGAGCCATTTCGATTTTAAAAAAACTAACATAAAACTAAAAAAACACTGACAAAACAAATTATTCGGAATAAAAACTATGGTAAATTTTAAAAACCTAACAGAAGGAAAGAATAAAATTGGTTTACAGATAGGAAATAGAAAAGGAAAGAAAGAAATTGAATTGAGTACGTACGCTAGCTACATGATATGCACACAAAATAAAAAGAAAAAAAAGGAAGAAATAGGTGAGTGTTGCTCATGATGTAAAACACGCATGAAGTCACGCGTGAAAGAGGTGAATCCACGCCTACTACGGACGACCCAAATACGAACCTGCAAACTACTATGCTGAAGAGCTCCATCACGGATTAGAGAATGTAAAACTAATTTTAATCTATCTATTTTCAAGAAAATAATAAAAGTTTGTACTCTGGTATGTGAAAACGTAATACTAATGTATTGCGGGTTATTACAATCCCCTAGGATTTTTTGTTTTTTTCCAAATACATAACTCAAGCACTAAGATTCCATACACTATTGCCTTCCAACGTGTTACATTCTCTTGTCGGTGTACAAAATCAATTTAATTGTAGTACTATTGTTCTTTAAAATGAATAAAACATTTAATATTTTTAAATGTATATCTTCATAAGAATAATTAATTTTATTATTGTTAATTCACATTTTCCAAATAACTCTGCACAAATGCAAATGTAATTTTCACGACATCTAATTGATCATATTGAGCTCTCAGTGACAAAGACCTACTGGTGATCTTTAAATTTATGTTCATGTTTCTTATCCAACTTACACTGTGTACAATTTTAATAATGATTACGAAATATTTAGATTTATACATATAGATATTTTTCTTATATTCATAATTTAAATTTTGATTAAAATTATACCATGCATATTGCACAGGTACGAATTTAGTTATATTAAAAAGTAAAATGTTTTGATCGGTCCATCGTGAACGCGTGACACTAATTTAAACCTCAAATACTCTCTCTATCACATAAAAATGTTTATATTTTGATTATTATGGTTAAATTATAACATATGTTGACTATTAATGAATATTTCGTTGTTTTAAATAAATATATATGGAGAGTGCTACGGGAAACCCACTTGAGTACACTAAGTGTACATTACGGTAAAAATAGGGGGTAAATTTCATGTATGGTACCTGAACTTTTAGCTGTTTTTCGTTTTGGTACCTAGACTTTTTTTCTTTCACAAAAATACCTGAACTTTGAAAATCTTTCACAAATGGTACCTGGAGCCGGTTTTCAGGTAATCATCAGGTCATTTGGGCCAAATTACAATTTTATATATTTTAAAATCTTTAATTTGACCTCATTTCTTTTTTCTTCTTCTCCCCCTCCCACTCCCTTCTTTTTCTTCTTCTTTCCCCCCTGTTTTTCTTCTTCTTCCTTCTTTCACCCCTTCTTTTCTTTTTCTTCAATTCCTTCTTTCACCTATTTTAATTTTTTTTTCCTTCTTCATTAAACCCTCCACTCACAACAACCCACCCCTCTCTACTTGTTTAACCCCACCCCCTTCTTGAGTCCCCACTTTTTTTGTTTAATTTTAACTTCCTCTTTAAGTGTTTTTTTGTTTTCGAATTTTTTGTTGAATAACTTTTTTAATTTTTTTTCAATTTTTTTGATATATTTCTTTTTATTTTTTTTCGGCCTATTTTATTTGTATACTTTTTTTTGTTTGTTTCTATTTTCTTCTTGATGTTTTAATAGTGTTTGTTTGTTTTTTAGGATTTTGTACAAACTTTTTAGTTGCTAACAAATGTCTAATTTTTTGTTTATTTGTTTTTTTTTTATTTTTGATTTTTTTGTTTGACTTAATCAATTGTGTTTAATCATTTTAATTAAACAAAAAAATCAAAGCACACATCATATTTTTGTCTGTTTATAAATCTTTATTGTAAACAATTAAACAAAACAAGTGCATAAAATAAACCCTACATAAATAACTAAAAAATGAAAAAATAAGACATCGAAAAATTCTAAAAAAACAAAAAAAAGACATTTATTACCATTTTTCGTTTCATATTTTTTCAAAAACAAACAAATAAGATCGAAAAAATATGAAAAAATGACACTATATGTCTTAATTAGTTTGATCTCTTTGTTTAATTAAGATGTATAGCTTGATCTTTTTGTTTACATAAATTTATTATATATAAAATAACAAAGTTATTAACAAAAAAGATAAAAGATAAAGGAGAAAATAACGAAACAGATAAATAAAGGAAGAAAGAAAGAAAAACAAAACAGAAAACAAAAAAAAGTAAGAATTGAGAAAAGGAAAAATGAATAAATAATAAATAAATATTTCAAGAAACAACTTTTTTATCATTTTTCTTGATATTTTTAAATTGTTTGTTTGTTTAGATTTTTTTTGTGGACTTTTTTTTGTAAGTTCTTTAGATCTATTCTTTTAAGAATTGTCTTATTACTTTTGTTTGTTTTACTTTTTTATTTTTTTGATGTTGTTTTATCTTATTTTTGTTTGTTTTTGATCCTTTTTTGTTTTTTTATTTTTATGCTATATTTTATTTTTTCATCAAATGAAGTAAAAAAACTAATTGACGTTTGGATTCGTTTTTTTTGTGGGTTGTTCTCTTTTTATGTTGCACTTACTCTTAGTTTGACTTAATTTATTTTATTAATTAATTTGTTTTATTTTATTGATCATTTTAGTTAAACAAAAAATCGTACCATACGTCATCTTTTTTGTTTGTTTTATTTGATATTTTTTGTTTATTAACTTTTTTTTTGTTTGCTTTCAAATAAAACAAACAAAAACATTAAATGCATGTTATGCTATTTTTGTTTAACTAAAATGTTCAATAAAATAAAACTCATCAATTAATAAAATAAAATAAGTCAAACTAAGAATAGGCGAAACATAAAAAGAGAACAACCCACAAGAAAGAACAAATCCAAATGCTAATTAATTTTTTTCTTCATTCTTATGAAAAAATAAAATATTAAAAAATAACAAACAAAAAATAATAAAGAAACAAAAAATAAGACAAAACAATATCAAAAAAATAAAAAAGTAAAACAAACAATAAAATAAAACACTTCTTAAGAGAATAGATAAAAAACTTACAAAAAAAAGTTCACAAAACACTCGTAAACAAACAAACAAATAATATAAAAGTATCAAGAAAAAAATATTAAAAAAACAAAAATTTAACAAAAAAAACAAATAAATCAAAAAAACAAAAAACAAAAAAACAAAAAAATATGAAAAAGGAAAGACAAAAAGAGGGAGCTCAAGAAGAAAGTGAGGGGAGATGCTGGAAA